TCTCCACAATGTCTCCAGTTAACGTGAAAGTGATATCGGAGACAATATCTTGTTACCAATAGACGAAGAGAGTGGAGGGGGAATAGACAGAGGAGAGGGTGGAGGAGACCATCGGTGACCACACAAGAGCAGCACAATCAATTCCCACTCCTTCTCCGGACTTCCTCTCGCCTCCCCGTCTTCAATCAATAAACAGTAACAAGTCTGATAAGTCCTGATCACATAGACGTGCCACGTGGCACTATTCTCCCATGGAGTCTCCCATGGAGACAATGAAGACAACCAGCAGCGTACAATATCGACGTCAGCCTCAGGTAAGTATCCCATTCCTCAATCGTCCACAGATCCCGATCTCCCTCCTTGTCGCAACCAGTCACCTCATGTAGACAGCGTGGCCAGTGCCACGTCAGCAATGGAGACAGGTGGCGTATGCCACATCAGCAACGAAGACAAGTGGCATGCACCACATCAGCAATGTAGACAGGTGGCATGCGCCACATCAGCAATGTAGACAGGTGGCATGTGCCACATCAGCAATGTAGATAGGTGGCATGTGCCACATCAGCAATGGCTGGCGCACAGTAGAGAAAGCCCCAGCATGCTGCCACAGTCCCGCGTTGTCGTCCACAGTGCCAGCATCAAGCCAGCGTCCAGCCAGTGCTCTGCTAGCATCAAGCCAGCGTCAAGGCAGCATAGCAAGAATGAATGTTGACCTCCCGGATACCAAGCCTTATGTAGTGTTTGACGAGGCAGTCTGGCCTCAGGTCTTTCTCCCACAGTTGTCCAGATTGACTCACAGCCGAGGGCCTGGTCTGGGTACCTGCATACAAACAAGGGTGTGCGTCTGACTGGAGGGCTGGGCTGGGTCCATTTGGGCAGTTGACTTTGGTGAACCGTCGCTCAGGCCCTGAATTCTCGTAGGGCCTTTTCTCCCCCTCAGCCTGGGTCTGACTCGTGGCCAGGCGAGGCCCTTAGACATTCCACGAGGCATTCTACATGGGTTATTGCAGAAGATTCATTCTAATTCTGCACATTTGCAGTTGTCCCAAGGAACTCTACCCACCACATGCACAAAAGACAAAACATATGGCGGCGTGTTATTCCACGTTCTAGCAGAAGATTCATTCCAATTCTGCACATTTGGTGAGTACTGCAGCCAAGACCCGAGAATCATGTGCAGAGACCAACAGGGCCTAGCGAAGTTAGCTACCCATTACTGCTGAAACACAGACCTGAACACGAACTGAGTATATATTCAGCCAGCTCGTGCTCCACTTCGTATTCACTGCCTGCCTCGATTTTGGTGGAGGGTCCTTGCTAAATTGCTGCGAGGACCCTTCAGATTACCGGCATGGGCCCTCTGATACGTGTGAAGGGGATCCTTTATTCTCTCTCTCTCTCTCTCTCTGTGTGTGTGTGTGTGTGTGTGTGTGTGTGTGTGTGTGTATACACACACATCCCTAAAAAGAAAAAAAGAAAAAAAAAAATCAGCGCATCGCTGCATCACCAATTTGCACCAGAACCGACAGTT